AGAGTTAAGACTCTAACAGTTGAGAGAATAGGGAAATTCATGTAAGGACAAGAGTAATGTCGCTGTCTCAGTGAGAAGGTAAGGTTTACACGTGCAGGCCAAACACAACAGTTATTAATGGCAGAAACCGGGCAGGCAGTAAGGGAGACCAGGCTGAAGAACATAAAAGAGGACTGGGAAGAAGTACCATAGATAGGAGCCTGGACTTGCAATGCCAGGAAGTGAAGAGTCCCTGTTAGGTCCTTCAATAAAACAGTTAACAGAGGAAAATATGTTGCAGAGAAAAAGAACCCCAAATAGGAAAATAAATTAGGTAAACTGCAGTCATGTAGCTTGTGAACCAGTGGAATTTTTAAAAAAGACTGGAACATTAGCTAAAAAGAATTTAATTAGAAGACTCAAAATCTTCACATACATGTCCTACAGATGGCCTCAGGTGTTCAGCTTGCCCACTCCCCATGTTGCAATGTTAGCTTTCTTCTTCCTTCCTCCTACTAGAAATTTGTTTTGTGCTATCATATTTTCAGTGGGTCTAACTTTTTCCTTTCATTTATATAACCTCCTAGAGTTTTCACCCCTCCTTTTGTAGATTCTAACCTAAAACTGTTTTTGCATCTCTCCTTTTCTTTTTGATCTTTGCTTTTTGTTCCTTTTTTATCACCTCTCCCACATCCAGGCTTCCCATTTTACAGAAGAAAAAAACAAGTCCAAAGAAGTAAAATGACTTCTTGGTTTAGAGTCCAGTGGGGCTTGCCTCTAATGACTACTATCTCTCTTAAAATAAATTCTCAGAGCTGATAGCAAAAAAAGGTAGTATTTTAAAAATTTTAGAAAACATTAATGTAAAAACCATTGGGGAGGTTATGTGCTATGGTGAGCACTGTGAAATGCGTAAGCCTGATGATTCACAGACCTGTACTCCTGGGGCAAATGATACATTATAAGTTAATAATAATAAAAAAAAAGTACAGTGTTATATTAAAAACCACCACTCCCTTGTTTATAAAGATGATAAAATTAAGAGAATTTTAAAATACACAAATAAAAATTATGAGACAGTTATAATGCCTTTCTGCTCCCCATTTTCTGTTGTTAAGAGATTTTAGTGTTTCTCAAAAGAGCATTCTTTTAGAAGCAAGGAAAACAACTATTTTTGAGGAAAGTTTTAGCTTTGTTAAAAAAGCTCTGGCATATTCTCTAGTTAAATGCAGCACTGTACTTACCTTATCAATGAACAAATAAGTTAAAGAGTCCTGAACTATACCTACAGGAGGATATATTAAAAAAAAAAAAAAAATCTGCCTACCTGAAATCCTTAAACTCATTCTTTTCCCACCTTTCTGATTCCTGTTTGTGTGTCTGCTAGTGTTTTCCAAGTACAGGATGTAACTACAGTGGAAGTGGAAAGGAGGGAATGAGTTAAAACTGCTAAATGCTTTGAGTAGCCAGTTTATACCCATAGTTTTTAAAACAGCTCATCTTCTTAATAGTTATTTTGAAATAAATGTTGTAAGAGTTTGTGCCCTGTTTTGGGCACATCAGGCTTAAATCACAAGTAAATAAGTATAAGCCCCAGATTTTCTTAAGACAACAATGAGGACTTAGGGGAAAGGCTTGATAACAATCACCATACTGCTCATCTATACCGATGACAAGCTGCTGAAGTCATAGCTAGAGTGGATTTCTCCCTATTTCACTAAGCCAGTGGAGCTTGGTTTACAATTATTTGACATTTCACACCATCATTCTGAAAAAATCTAAATCTCAGTAATGACAATGAAGATGCCATTTCCAAACATGGAAAATGACGGAACAAAAAACCAACATTAAAAGTAAGAGAAAAGAATTTGTAACTACGCTGATAAACTGGTTGGCCTAGGGATTATGTCAGTGGCAAATGAACAGTCTCACCCATATTCTCCTTTCCTTATTGGCTGACTTTAAGTATTTAGTCAACCTCAGCTAATGGGCAAGTATCAGTGCACAAGTCATATGAGGATAAGATCATTGTATGGTATTGAATGTGAGAAACATCAGCACTGTGTGTCAAGCAATTTGTGAATTTTGATATGCACAACTTTCCCTGAATTTCCAAATTTTGCATATACATATTTGTTGATTTAAATATGCATGACTCGGGCACCTGTGTGGCTCAGTGGGTTAAAGCCTCTGCCTGAGGTCATGATCCCAAGGTCCTGGGATTGAGCCCCACATCTCTCTGCTCAGCAGGGAGACTGCTTCCTCTTTTCTCTCTCTGCCTGCCTCTCTGCCTACCTGTGATCTCTATCTGTCAAATAAATAAATAAAATCTTTAAATAAATATATATATATGTGTATATATATATATATGCATGAATTACATGATGACTTACATGATGAAGGCCCAAGGAATAACCTCAGCCCAATAAAATAATAAGAACTTCCCTTTTAGGCTGGTCTTAGAATGCCTAACTTCTTTTCTCTGAGCCATTTCAGATCCTTCCAGCTAGCTGGGTCCTTTAACCACCAACACAGATGCCATTTCCTACTTTAGTCTAGTACCAGTGCAAGGCAGAAGAGCTCCGGTAGCAGACTGCGTGTAAGACAGGAAAAGAAAAGAGTGCCAACATTCTAGGAAATGGCCCTTTACTCTGTTGCTACATATATTCGTTAGCCTGCTCAGTCTCTATAATCTCCCCTACTCCTTTTGAAGCTCTCTTGTTTGCCCTATTCAGAGTCCCTGCCCTAGCTGTCATGTTCAAATAACTAAGGAAGTTGTTCTTTGTTAAGGACACCTAAATATAAACCTAGATTTTTTTCTGAAATGCAGATGGACCTCATGCTAATTATGTGTGCAGGTTATGTATCTTTAATTTTTTTTTTTTTAAACAAAATCTGCATTACTCACTTAAGACTTCTAGATATTTTGTTTTTCCTGTATCTATTACTTCACCTATTATCTGGGGTCCTCATGGTTGACACCTGTAAGTTCAAACAACTGTTGTCTTCCTTCTGAGATAGGGGAGCAGTTCCCCTAAGTAACAGCAGATGGGCGAGGCAGGGAGAGCCCTCTGGGAAGTATGGGGCAAATGGCCCTGCTAGTCTGGCGCTCCGCCCTACCATGATCTTTGCTGATCTCCTGAGTGTCTCCACTTCCTTATTTCTGTATTTGTTGTCTTCCTCTTGCATTTTCAATGTTAAGTATTTACCAGAATGTTTACTTGACCATCTTCTCTATCAAAACTATCCTCTAACGTGAGGGTGTGTCTAATCGAACTTCAACTGTCACCTCTGTTGTGCAGATTCCTTGTCTTCTTATTTCCAGGAGTCTTTTGCTGACTTATGTTTGTGCTGACAAAAATTTATATAGGCCTGAACACATTATTTTTCCTCAAGTAAAGAACCTACCTTGTACAAAGTTCCACAATAATCATTAGCTATTTCTTTTGTCAAATGACTTACAGTTCTTCCTCAGCCTAGTTAATTCCACAATTCCTACCATACAAAGCAAATCTGAGTACAGTTCTTCATTCAAAAAATCCACTAACTGAAGATGCCAGGCCTTTTATTGTCTGATCTGTCTTATGACTTTTTAATCTGAACCCATTATTCTCCTTCACCCTACCTGGTACTTTCTAAAACCATGCCGAATTCTCTAAAACTCTAAAGAGGACTAGTCCATCGTCATGTTTAAACCACTCTGTACCCTCAAGTAGCTAGTACAGTGCTGTACACAGAGGAAAAAGAACTCCAGATCAGCCATAACACAAGATGGGAGCAGAGAGGTTGCTAAACAGAGCGGATCCACAGAGCCTTCAGAACACAAAAAAAGGAATAACCACTGGGAAGCATTTTAGGTTTCATGCTTCAGGTCTCATTTTTCTCTTGTATTACTCTGTCTCAAGGCAACTTGAAAACATGACTTTTCAATGGGCACTGCCCCATACCCTAGAGGGCGTTTTGGAAATATCTGGGGGTGGCTTCTGGTTAGTGGAATAATTGGGAAATGCTGTGTGGGCAAGGCCAGGGATGCCTGATGTTTTGAAATAAGAGGGACAGTCCCACATAATAAAAAATTGCTATTCACTGGACATAACCTTGAAATGTTCTGCACATCTCTTTCGCAGTAATGCAAAAATCTAACTTATAATCATCAATCTTTGTTTTAAATATAAAGAATTTTTTGCAGTTTTGCTATATTATTTTATGAAAATGTAAACATCTTACAGATCATACTTTATTTTGTTTGGAATTTTACTATGAGCTGCTCATCATTTAGGAAAAAATCATGTCACAGAAAGCAATACTTTTCATAAATTTCAAATCATTAATATAACATACCTTTATCAGTTTCATTTGTAGCTCTTTTTTTTCTTTTTCTATTTCTAGATTCGTATCTCCTCTCTCAAAAAACACATCTTCCATGCCAATGGCAAAGCGTGCTACAGTGAAACAACACTGAACTAACAGCAGTTAAGTTGTTGTCACTTAGCCTCAATTTGCTCATATATAAAATGAGTATATGCTCTACTTATCTTAGAGGTTAAGAAAAACAAAATGCTAAAATGGATATGAAACATCTCAGAAGATAACAAATCTGTGTACTTTACAATGAAACAAATCATAATATTCCTGAATAAAAATGAAATAGGAAAAAAAAACCCTAAAAGACTCTTGACTCCAGTATATGTACCAAATAACAGTGTAGAAATTTAATAGCAAGCAGGATTAGTAATATTTAAGCACTTAATAAAATCACACGCTAAACCCATGCTGCCCAACACAGCTGTGCATTTGCTCAACTGTAAAATTCACACTAGATTTAAGGAATTTACTACAAATAGTAAATCATTAAGAATTATTTCATCTTCTTACTTTACAAATGTGGCCCGTAGAAAATTTAAAATTACACTTTTTTGCTTACACTACATTTCTGACAGGCCAAATGCAGTTACAACACTCATCGAGAGCAACAATACTGAGCTCAGGCTATTGAAGCAACAAAGAGTGTATACACTCACTTCATCCGTGAGTTCGCCAAACACGGTTATGACATCTATTAAAAGGCTTGCAGTATAGAAGGACTTGATCATGTTCCTAAAAGAGAAAAAAAAGCTGACTTAGTTAAATGAAAAACATTAAGCTGCAGAATTAGTCATGTAACCATAAGAAAAAAATAACTCCAGTGTTTACAACAGTACTCTGAAATAAATGTTTTAATTAAATTAGATTTCAAGAACACAATGAAGCTCCTTCTGTAATCTGTTATTAGGAGAAAGTAATAACATTCATATTACAAATAAAGATACTACAGCAAGGTTTTATAGTATACTTTTTATTAAAAAATGTAATTATAGGGGTGCCTGGGTGACTCAGTTGATTGTCTAACTCCTGATTTTGGCTCAGGTCATGAGCTCAGGGTTGTGAGATTGAGCCCCGCTCTGGGCATGGAGTCTGCTTAAGATTCTCTCTCTCCCTCTCCCTTTGCCTGCCCCCTCCAAGCGCACCCCCCTCTTCCCCCGCCAACACATGCACATGCTCTGGGGCGGGGAAACGATTACAGTATTATCTGAATCTGTATCAAGCCATGTGTGTTTCTTTCCATTTAAGTATCATTACAATATGATGACAAATCATTTGAATTAGCAGGTTTTGTGACAATTTAAAAAAATCAGTAGCACTGTACCAGGCTGTTGCTGGCTAAAATCAAATCTTAGATTTTACCAAATGTTAAAGAATGGCTAATTGGGGTATAATTACTGAAAAAAATAAATCTACCCTGGCTATTTTTCTATCAGCCATTTTCTCTAAAAAGATAGGCTTGTTTTTGTAATGCCAATCATTCTGATATTCTGTAAGTAATTAAAAAAACCCCTAAATCATTAATCAAGAAGTTTAAAAGTATCCAATGGATAACTGGGTAATTCCTCATACAGTAACTAAACTACAATTTTAATTTTTCTCTTGCTTTACTTACTTGTGAAATCGTCCAGCACGATCTTCATTATCCGCATACAAAAACATTTTCAAAGCATAATTCTCCAAATGAGCAGAACCAACTATTTCTTGAGTAATAGCTTCATTATCACCCAACTGTTTCTTAAGCTAAAATTAAATCAGATACAAAGCTTAAGATTTTGGATTCACAGAAATGTATGCTTAAATACAAATAATCCCAAGCACCATTTTAGACTTTTAATATTATTTGATATTCATTTCAGTAAAAGATGTATCAATGAAATCTTGCAAAAACTGCTCTGTCTCAGCCCAAGGTTTTTTAGAATAAAACCCAATGTTAACAAAATTTTGAAGACACACTCATGATAACCTGAAAGGATAATTTAGCTCTAAAAATCAAAGTAACTAAGAATAAAAAGATAACACACCCAACTATCTATGTAAAGCATCAGACAAGTATTTCAAAATAACAGCCAATAAACTATCAGGTGTCCTAAAAATGGAATTAGGAAATTCTCTAATCATGATTTAAAATTTTAATTTGTTGCCATTTCAATTTCTATCAAATATAAAAAAATATGATTACAGAAATCATTATATCCTGAAACAGTATTGCTTAGAGCATACTGTGTAAAACAGATCTAATTCTACAGTATGAGATCATAAACTCAGAAAAGGATTATAAAAGTTTTTAAAATTTAGACAAATATATACCTCGTTAACACAATTCACAACTGTAAATTTTCAGTCAGTACATCCTTTTCCTACACACATAATAATTTAAAATATTTTAAACACAACAAACTAAGTTCCTACTTATTCCGACTGCTATATTAGAATGAAATGGCTTTTTGGAATATTAGATCTGAGTACCATACTAACTGTTTAAAAATGGGTTTTCTCAGAAACATTATAAAGTAAAAAATTAAATTTAAAAAAGGCTTCAGGATTCTTTATAAAAATCAGCAAAATAAATATTCTCATTGTTACAAAAGAATAACGTAAGTTCTAGAAGAGATTTAATGTTGGAATTTAAGGATGTTTTAGCTACGGCTATACTTACCCTGAACAAAAACGAGAAAAAACCCCACATGTAACACTAGTTTACTATATCCCTGTTATGAAATGTTTTAATTGTAGATTTAATTCTAGAAAAAAACTGGGAATATGTCACTTTACCTCATCTTCAACATGAAATATCTGGCAGGAAAAACATAAACTCAGTTTTCCAACTGTATTCTAAACATTACAGCACAGGCAGATGGGATAGACTCACCATAGAATAGATTTATTCTACCTGTTATTTAATTTAGGTAATAATAAACTGCTGCTGAGTCCCTTTACAAATGTGATTTTATATTTTCCTTATTATAAAGAACTATTCTGAGTTCTGTTTTATCCATAAAATAGTTATTACTGTTATACTGTGAAATTAATAAAGAGATATATTCTATACAAAGTCTGCTACCAATATGATTTTATAAATGTACTGCTATGGGTGAGACACATTCTTCCTCTCACTCCCTAAACTCATCTTCAAAAAAAGAATACTCACATTTTTCCTGTATCTACAGAAACCACTTTAGAAGTAGGAGGATGGACAGGCTTCAAGGGTAGCTGGATTCCCATCAGTGGCGCCAGTAGATCCAACGGGTGGTTAACAGTAGCAATGACAGGGACTCTGGGTCAGAAAGCCAGACACCCATACCTAACCAAGTTAGAACCCTACTGCCCAGGGCTATTTAATGTAATTAGGTTTTGATCTCAGTAACTTTCAACATTTATAAAAGCTCTGGGATGACTATTATAAATGCTCTGATTTTTAAAATATCTAAAATTCTCTCTACAAACAATAATGCAACTAGTCAAATATTTAGGTTTCTAATTCTCTTGAGGTCATATAACTAAGTAAATAAAAGGCTGCAGGCATTAATATAACAGCCTCTGAAGAAATAAATTACCAGAAGTAGACCCTGACACTGTTAAAAGAAAAGCCAGGACAGCTGGGCAAGGGAGGCACAGGTGGAGTCCTGATTAAGTTGCATTAGTATAGCCATTCCTGTCTTCTTGCACTGATACCCAGTCCAACTCATTCAATCTTCCCTGGATTGGTACTTCTATATGACCTGTGAAATTATATCATGGTTCAAGAAGATGACTCATCCATTAGTCACCTACCACATTTCTGCTAGCAGGGAAGAATGCCTGGACCATAAAACTATCTTCTCCTGGTACCAAGAGTGAGACAAAGAGACTACAGGCAATTGATACTATTTCCTTCGTTGTCCTTCACTAAATAAGTAGTCCATTTCATTATTGTAGGAGCAATTTAAGAATTCCCAAATCAATCATCCATATAACTGTATGAAGTAGATTAGAAAGGGTTTGTCACTTATGAAAGAATGACTTGAAGGTCACCTACAATAACAAGATATAGTGGTATATGCAAAGACACTGAAATCTACTTTAATACAACTTACAACTCCCTTAGCCGTAAGATATGAATGAAAAAAATTGAGTCAGGGTGCCTAGGTGGCTCAGTTGGTTGAGGTCTGCCTTCGGCTCAGGTCATGATCCCGGGTCCTGGGCTCCAGCCCTGTGTCAGGCTCCCTGCTTTGTTTGGGGTGAGTCTGCTTCTCCCTCTCCCTTTGTCTGTTGCTCCCCCGCTTGTGCTCTCTCTCTCTGTCAAATAAATGAATACAATCTTTGGAAAAAAAAAAAAAGTGTGCCTAGTTTTTTCCTCAGCTGTAATGACATTACTAGATGGCTGCCAAGAGGAAGAACTAAAATGGCAAAATACACATAAGCGAATGTAATAAAATGCCACTTAAAACAATCAGAAAATAAATGATCAGTGTTTAACTTACAGCTTCTAATTGATCCATCAGCTTTGATAAAAATTTACGACAGTCAGGAGTTTTACTATCAATCTTCATTCCAGTTTGCATTGCATATAAACGACCTACAAAGAAAAGAAAAATGAGATGACCTGAACAATTTCCATTAGTGAATGTTTAAAATATACATTCTTAATAATAAATAATTTAAAATCTAAGTGAATTTAGAAATAAAACTTTAAAAATAGACTTTGGAAAAATAAACTTTAGTGATAAAACTCTGATTTATTATGTATCTTATTTACAAAAATAAAGAACACACAAATACTATCCAAAGAATGTAACAGATTCATGATAATAGCAATTTTTTTAAAATCAAGTAAAGTCTTCTCTTTTGGCACTATGTTAGAAAGAAAGGACAAAAAGAAAGAAAGGAGGAAAGGAGCGAAGGAGAAGGAGAAGAGAAAAAAAGACTAGGTCCTAAGCTGTTAAAAAGACCTGTAATTTAATTGGGAAGTTAAGGCAACCAGAAAAATCACATGTACAAGAGCACTCACCAAGTGCCCGAAAGTGATACTAATAAAATATATAGTATGAGCTAGAACACTGGGAAACACAACTTGAGTTGAGGCTAACAGGGAGAACTGTTTAAGTTACTTGTATATATATATATATATATATATATATATATATATATATATATAAAATACACACCCTTTTTAAAAAGTTAATAAAAACATTAGAGATAAGGCTAAACCTAAAAACAAAACAAAACAAAACAAAAAAACCAACTCTGACACCATGATCTTAATAGCTTTTCCAGTGACAGGAAAAGTGAAAGGTCTGGTGGTAATTGTTACCATTGGTGTGTACATACACCACCTGTAATTTACTCTTATATTCTCCAAATATGTCCTGGAAATCTGTGACAGCACTATGGATATATCATTCTAATGAAAGCACATTTAGGTGGTTCCCAGATGTTCATTACTACAAATCTTGTTACCATACCTTCTTGTGCTTGCATTCAAGAGTTCCCTGAGGCAAATAACCAAGAAATGGAATACCCAGGTCATATATGTGTTATCTTTTTCACCTTTGAGAGCTACTTTTAAATTGTCCTCCAAAACAGATTACCAAAATACAGTTATAGTTCCAACATATGCAAGCACCATTTCCTCAAATCCACAAAAGCAAACAAACAAAAAAGCCTGGTATTATTGAACTTATCAGTGTCAAGATTTTACGTGATATTTCATTTTCACTACTAAAAAAGTACTGCATATTTACTGGATAGTTCTATATCCACCTTCTTGAGTTAGTAGCTATCAAAACAAAAGAAAAAAAATGTGCCAAATTTCAATTGGGTTGTTTGCTTTTCAACAAACTGTCTTGTGGCAGTTCTTTACACAGTATAAAGGAGGGATAGGTTTCTCCCCTCAGATGGCATCTTATAAACACCATCCCCCTTCCCTGCTTTATTTTTCTTTCAGCACGTAATCATCTTCTTATTAATCCACTGTCTCTACTTCCACTCGAATTTAAACTCTGTGATGATGGCAATTTCAGTCTATTTGGTTTGCTGATGTACCCTTGGCATGTAGGATAGTGCTTGGCCTTCGATAAACATTTTCTGCATAGATAAATACATGGATGAAAGAATAGCTCATTCTGCCCCACTGATTTAAATGCCACTTTTATCATTCATTATCATATATTAAGCTTCCATGGGATAAAAAGGCCCAATTCTGTATATTGTCTATCCTGCTTCATTAGTCTACTGGCCTATCACTGCTTTATTTACTAGAGCTTTAAAACATAGCTTGGGTATCTGTTAGGTACTCTCAAGATTTCCAATTCAATTAAGGCTACTTGATGGTATCTTCTTTAAGAATGTATTAAGATACACATGATATACAGTTATTTATTGTGTTTTTAATTTTAAAAGCTTTATCTGAAGAAACTACTTTTTAAATACTTAGGCTTTTAGGACTATCTCCTATTACAGAGTTTGGTGTTTAATTTGTTAATGCATTTATTTTCATGTTATCAAATTTCAGGGTTTGATCCATCTAGTTATTAACAAGAGAAAAAAAAAGGAGTTCCAAAAGTACCGTACAGATTTACATTGCCACACAGTATAAAAAACAAGGTGCTTTTGTTTTCTCTGCACAACACCAGCACTGGGCATCATTGTGACCCAAAACCAAATTCTAATCTAAAAAACAAACAAACAAAAATGCTCATTTTAAATGTCTCTTGCTTTGATAACAAATGTGACCAAATTTTCTTTTTCTTTCTTCTACTTTTAACCAGTCATATATATATTTCTTTAAGCAACATGGCTATGTCCTTTACCCATTTGTCTCTAAGGTTTTAATCATCGCGCCCCCCCCAAACCCCACCCCATAGCTCCTAAAGCATGGCTGAATGCTCTCTCCTTTTAAACCAGTCACATCTCTTTCGAGCTGTTTATGATCTGTGCCTGTCTTAGCTTCTTTTCTTCTTGTAACTGACTGAACTCCCTAACACTTCTTTGTGAGCTGTTCAGGTTTCTTCTCCCAGTGTTTTTGTTGCATTTCTTCTTCGACAGTGAATCACATGAGCTCTTTCGAAAGCAAACATACTGGCTGCCAATATCATGCCATCTTTCAATTTCTGAATGCTGTTTTAAAACACAGAGACGTGAAATATCTATGTACTCAAAGCTATTATTTCCCCCCCCCCCCCCCCGCCAAATTCCAAGCTTGGAAAAGTTCTTTTACCTTGAAGGGGCTAGATACTCAGTTACATGATTTTTCTCGTTTTTCCTATGGTTTTAATTTTTCAAATTTAACTCTTTAACTTGCATTTCCTCTCCTCCACAAGTTACTGGCACCTATCTCAAATACACAAAAAATGATACAACCTTTCTCTAATGGTTTTGTGGTTCCCTCTTTAATATATTTTCACTTTTTAAAAAATCATTTTTAAAAAAGACTATTTGAGAGAAAAGAGAAAAAGAGAGTGTGCACATGCAAGTGGGGGGGGAGTAGCAGAGACGGGGGGACAAGTAGACTATGCACTGAGCACGGAACCTTATGTCGGACTCGATCCCATGACACTGAGATTATGACCTGTGATGAAATAAAGAGTCCGATACTTAACTGTCTGAGCCACCCAGTGCATATTTTCCCTTTTTATGTTTCCTGGTTATTTGATTTGCTGAGATCACAGATCAAATGCTACCTCTAGCACATGATAGTATCTCTAACTGGTAATTCACTTTTTCTTCCTCCAAATTTACTCTGCTATGTCTTGCTGTATTACCAAAATTTTATCAAGAATTTTATGTGTTCTTGCTCATATTTTTAAGAGGAAAGCTTCTGCTTCAGAGTAGGGATCAATTCCACGCCAGGTTGCTCATATTTCCCCTAACAGAGTCCCTATCCTATGCTATATTGAAACTGCGGCCTTTGGGACCCAGGGATTGGCAAGATAACTCACTAGAGTGTGGGAAAGAAAATCAGCATTTCTACTGATAATTTTTAATCATTCTTTAAAAAATTTCTGTTTTTGCATCTTTAATAATACAGGTAGTACTTTTATAATATAGTATTTGTACATTTACATAATTAGAGATTAATTTCTTTAACTCATATGTATAGCTGATCATAAGGTTAAAAATCACTACTCATTACATCCTTTCTCCTCTCATCTATAAACTATATTTTCTTATCCCAACCTAGCCCATACTCTTCTACAGGGTCCCATTCTTTTACCATAATCCCTGGAATTACTGCTTTATAATCAGCAAAATCCTGTGTATCTCCTCAGATTCCTTCTCCCTCTGCCTTAACTAAACCCTAGATACCACTGGAAGCAATCCTCTTATATTCTTTCTACATCAGGATTGACAAGCATGACTGTTTTTTTCTTTGCATCCCATTGCTACTTAACTTCTCTCAGTATCTTCTAAACACACTGGTCTAAAGCTCAAGCCCCTTTCTTCTACCTGATCTTGTTAATGCTTGTAACTGACCGAGAACCTCAGGGTCCTTCCTTGTCTTTCCACCATCTTGAAAATTTGCTGTTCTCATGGATAATTGATACTTGTGGCAGAGACTACTAACTGCCCACATTCTTTCTTCCTACCTTCTTTGCTAATGAGACCCCTACACTATTAAGGGGGGTTGTAATGTACCTAGCCAAAATAGTACATTTCCCAGTATTCTTCAAAGCCAGATAAGGCCATTCAACTAAGACTGGTACCATGTTATCAGAAGTTGTTTGGAGAGAATTCTGGAAGTAATCTTAAAGGGGAAATGACAGCAGGGGTAAGATCTTACTGACCCTTTCCCTCTTCTTCCTGCTGCCTAAAATAGACACGGTGTGACTGAAACACTAGTAGACATCTTAGACCACAAGGCAACCTTGGAAATGGTAATCAGGTGTTTGCCTGTAGATCTGAAATTGGAAAGTACTTGGGTCCCTGATGACTTCGTGGAATTGACACGTTTTGGGTACTGCCAACATCAGACTTTGTTTTAAATGAGGGAGTTCTTATCTGACTTAGCTATTGTTATTTTGGATTTTCAGCAATAAGAAAGCAAATCTAATCCAAATTAATACACAAAACAATGTTCTCAATTCTTGCTGACCCTAATAATTGTATGTACTCTCCCATACAAGCCACTCATTCCATGATTAAATCACAATCTCAAATTGCTCTACTTCCCAAATCAGTATATTAAGCACCAAATCTAAACACAATTTCCATTTTTTCCAACTTGAAACTCTGCCTATTACAACAGGTGGCCAGTTCACTGGTGTCTATTTCTTTATTGCAATCAGTCTTTTCTCCTTTAACTTACCTCTGCAACCAGCTTTGATTTTGTATTTTTCTAGAACTTTACTGCCCTTACCCCTTAAGTATTTTTTTACTATGTTCCTCTGGCAAAAGGACACTCATTATTTAAACCCATCTATCCTCTTTCTCTATGCCTATATATAAGCAATAGAGACCACTGGCAGATGAGCACCATTATAAATATCATAATTATCAACCTCAAATGAGCTTAATGCTTGCCTTCCCAACTTCCCAAATGACTATTTCAAACATACACCAATCTCTTTAAACAACCAC